AGTCAAGCCCAAATTTCTTCCTCATCCATTACCTATCTCGGCATAATTCTCATAAAAACACACGTGCTCTCCCTGCTGATCGTGTCCGGCTAATCTCCCAAACCCCAATCCCTTGTACAAAACAACAACTCCTTTCCTTCCTAGGCATGGTCAGTGCGGTCAGAATTCTTACACAAGGGCCGGGACCGTGTCCTGTAGCCTCTCTGTCCAAACAACTTGACCTTAGTGTTTTAGCCTAGCCCTCATGTCTGCACGCAGTGGCTACCACTGCTTTAATACTGTTAGATGCCCTAAAAGTCACAAACTATGCTCAACTCTACAGTTCTCATAACTTCCAAAATCTATTTTCTTCCCCCAACCATCACTCAGGACAATGCTTATGCTGATAAGTTAGCTAAAAAAGCAGCTAGCTTTCCAATTTCTATCCCTCACGGCAGTTTTCCTCCTTCACTTCGGCCACTCCCACCTACTCCCCGGCTGAAACTTCTACCTGTCAATCTCTTCCCACACAAGGCAAACAGTTCTAGACCAAGGAAAATATCTCCTTCCAGCCTCACAGGCCCATTCTATTCTGTCGTCATTTCATAACCTCTTCCATGTAGGTTACAAGCCGCTAGCCTGCCTCATAGAACCTCTCATTTCCTTTCCATCATGGAAATCTATCCTCAAGGAGACCACTTCTCAGTGTTCCATCTGCTCTTCTACTGCCCCTCAGGGATTGTGCAAGTCCCCTCCCTTTCCTACACATCAAGCTCGGGGATTTGCCCCGGCCCAGGACTGGCACATTGACTTTACTCACATGTCAGAAAACTAAAATACCTCTTGGTCTAGGTAGACACTTTCACTGGATAAGTAGAGGCCTTTCCCACAGGGTCTGAGAAGGCCACCGCAGTCATTTCTTCCCTTCTGTCAGACATAATTTCTCGGTTTGGCCTTACTACTTCTATACAGTCTTGTAATGGACCAGCCTTTAATAGTCCAATGACCTGAGCAGTTTCTCAGGCTCTTGGTATTCAATGAAACCTTTATATCCTTTACTGTCCTCAATCTTCAGGAAAGGTAGAACGGACGAATAATGGTCTTTTAAAAAACACACCTCACCAAGCTCAGTCACCAACTTACAAAGGACTAGACAATACTTTTACCACTTTCCTTTCTCAGAATTCAGGCCTGTCCTCGGAATGCTACAGGTTCCAGCCCATTTGAGATCCTGTGCGGACACTCCTTTTTATTAGGTCCCAGTCTCATTCCAGACACCAGACCAACTTAGACTGCACCCCAAAAAACTTTCATCCCTACTGTCTTCTGTCTAGTCACACTCCTATTCACCACATTCTCAACTACTCGTAAATGCTCTGCTCGTGTTTACACTGCTGGTTTACACTGTTTCTCCAAGCCATCACAGCTGGTATCTCCTAGTGCTACCCCAAACCACCACTCTAAATTCCCTCTTAAAGTAAATAAATAATCTTTGCTGGCAAGGCTATGCTGAGCCTCCTTAAGCACTCTCTAATTAGATGTCCTAGGTCCTCCCAATTCTTAGTCCTTTAATACCTGTTTTCTCTCCTTTTCTTATTCAGACCTTGTGTCTTCCATTTAATTTTTCAATTCATACAAAACTGTATCCAGGCCATCACCAATAGTTCTGTACAACAAATGTTTCTTCTAACGACTCCACGATATCACCCGTTACCACAAAATCTTCCTTCAGCTTAATCTCTTCCACTCTTAGGTTCCCATGCCACCCCTAATCCCGCCTGAAGCAGCCCTGAGAAACACCGCCCATTCTCTCTCCATACCACCCCCCAAAAAAATTCTTGCTGCCCCAACACTTCAACATTATTTTGTTTTATTTTTCTTATTAATATAAGAAGGCAGGAATGTCAGGCCTCTGAGTCCAAGCCAAGCCGTCACATCCCCTGTGACTTGCACATATAAGCCCAGATGGCCTGAAGTAACTGAAGAATCACAAAAGAAGTGCAAATGCCCAGCCTCGCCTTAACTGATGACATTCCACCACAAAAGAAGTGAAAATGGCCAGTCCTTGCCTTAAGCAGATGACATTATCTTGTGAAATTCCTTTTCCTGGCTCATCCTGGCTCAAAAAGCTCCCCCACTGAGCACCTTGTGACCCCCACTCCTGCCCGCCAGAGAACAACCCCCCTTTGACTGGAATTTTCCTTTACCTACCCAAATCCTATAAAATGGCCCCACCCTTATCTCCCTTCGCTGACTCTCTTTTCAGACTCAGCCCGCCTGCACCCAGGTGATGAAAAAGCTTTATTGGTCACACAAAGACTGTTTGGTGGTCTCTTCACACAGACGCGCATGACAATGGGGTCTTACTATGTTGCCCAGGCTGGTGTCAAACTCCTGGCCTCAAGTGGTCCTCCTGTCTCAGCCTTCCAAAGTGCTGTGAGAACAAGTGTGAGCCACCATGCCAGGCCCTCTTTTCCACTTCAGTGTTTTCTTTCACCCCCGTAAGAACCAGATCCTACTATGTCTTTGGTGCCATCATTTGCACCCAGGAAAACTGCAAGAGTCCCTCTGTATTTGCTCCTCTGATGGGGGAGGGGGTTGTGAGTACAAAAGGCCATATTCTTCCGGCAGCACAGGGTACAATGTCACTGATATCTCCACCATGCAAACCAGTAAAGGCATGATTTGGAAAAACTCACATATCTCGATGCTCTTCCACTAGAATCCATTTGCTCCCTTTCTGTGTCTACTGTGTTTCCTCACACAGTGTGCAAAAGTTGTGGCAGTTGCAGTTAAGTGTTTACCTTGTTTTTTCTTATTTGCTAGGAGATTTGGCTTCTGAGAGGAGTTAAAAAATGGAGAAAAAATGTGTGGATGGGTGTATCTTGAAGTCCACTGTCAAAAACTTAGCAGTATGCCAGCTGTAGTGGCTCATGCCTGTAATCCCAGGACTTTGGCAGGCCAAGGCAGGAGGTTTGCTTGAGCCCAGGAGTTTGAGACCATCCCAGGTAACATGGCAAAAACCCACCTCTACTAAAACCATAAAAAATGAGTCAGGCATGGTGGTGCACTCCTGTGCACCCAGCTACTCGGGAGGCTGAGGTGGGAGGACTGCTTGAGCCCAGGAGGTTGAGGCTGCAGTGAGGCATGACTATGCTATTGCGCTCCAGCCTTGGTGACAGGAGTGAGACCCTGTCTCAAAACAAAACAAAACAAAAACCAAAAACCAAACTCAGCAGTGAAATCTGCAAATCTGTCTTTGCCTTTTCCAAACTTTATTGTCCACAGTCTTGCATATGTGTGATTCTCTCTCAAAGTTATCTTATCAAAATGCTTTGGTTTCAGTTTCTTCTTGAGATAATTAATTTGGGCTAGAGTCAACAGAACACCAGAGCTACTTGGAAAACGACAAATTAATCTCTTAATTACCATAGAAAACATTAAAACCAGAAAAAAAATATTAAGGATATGCCTGTAGAAGTTTAGAAAAATTTTCTGTAATAAAAAGAATGACGTTTATATCCTACAGCATAGAATACCCAGAAGGAGGAAAAAACGCTATTGAACCGTGAGAAAGAACATTGCATGTTCTCTTTTTCAGTGGGAAAGAAAAGCTTTATCAGAGGCAGGCTGTTTTAAGGATTAATGTTCCTAGATGGAGATAAATCTTAACTATTGAAATAGTGTTTTCTCAGATCTAATTTAAAAAGTGTTCGCTTCTGGAAATCTCATACTTGTTCCTTTGTTTATAATTCTTTTGAACATTTGCTTTCTGTTATCTGTGAAGAGATTTGAAAAGAGCAGGTCTGTTGGACGGTGGCTTCAGGGGTGACCTCCCTTGGCTTAAACAGGCATTTGTTGGGTAACACCTCTGCATGATTTTTAAAAGTTAGCAGAAGTGAGAAGGGTAACTGAAGTTTCCAGAATCAAGAAAAACTACAAAAGAAGCTCATTTTTATAAATGCTATTGTCTTATATAACCCCCTGGAAGACACCCAGTTCTCACTTCTAAGAGCTCTCATGAGTCAGTTTGTCATTTGATATTTTGTAGAGTTTGCAGTAAATTGGAAGACGCGAATTCTTCTACTTAACTTCAATGACAAACTATTTTGTACTTCAGTTTCTTAAGAAACTAAATTGAGGGAACCTATTTTATCTCTTTCCTATCTATGTCCAACCTACTCCCAACTTCTAGAACAGTTTCTTGTATGTAGTGAGTGCCCCATAATTGTAGAATTAAATCGAATTTGGGAATTTTTTCCTTCTTTTGAAAATGAAGCTAAAAAAATATGAAGCCAGGAAGTTTTACCAGTCTTCCCCACAAACACCCACAGACATCAGCCTCTCAAGCATATGCCTTTACTGGGCTGGGGAGTGAGTATCCTGTCTTCTCTCCCCTTCCTTCTTCTTCCTTTGCTCTTCCTGCTCCTACCTCCTCCTCTTTCCCCCCTATCCGCTCCTGTTCCTTCCCTTTCTCCTCTTCCCTAACCTAGAAGTTTCTAACCAAGAAATCTATATACACAAAGAACAACTGCCAATGGGAAAACAAGATATCACTTTTTTAAGAGCTAGGCAAGGACTCAATCATCCCAATGTAACACGCTCTAGCAAGAGGAATTTGGAGAATAAAGTTGAAGTAAGGAAGCCTAAGTCCCTGTGCCTGACTCTAAGATTATCAGGGAGTCCACCTATGCTCCAAAACACATCAAAAACTATATAAGAAGGCTGGGCATGGTGGCTCATGCCTGTAATCCCAGTACTTTGGGAGGTTGAGGTGCATAGATCACTTGAGGTCAGGAGTTTGAGACCAGCCTGGCCAACGTGGTGAAATCCCGTCCCTACTAAAAATACAAAAAGTAGCCGGATGTGGTGGTGCACGCCTGTAATCCCAGCTACTCAGGAGACTAAGGCATGAGAATTGCTTGACCCCAGAAGGCGGAGGTTGCAGTGAGCCGAGATCGTGCCACTGCACACTGGCCTGGACAAGACAGTGAAACTCCACCTCAAAAAAAAAAAAAAAAAAAAAGTAAGATCTTACAGCAAGTCAGCAGGGTCCACCAAGGTCTTTGGCCAGAAGCAGAGAGTTTACCATGTGGACACAGGAAATAGCAGTAGAGTGACTAGGGTGGGTTGGTCCTTAACCACTCAGGAATTTCAGGAATTCCGACCATGGGTAAAACCCAGTGCGGTGACACTCTCATGTTCTCACCAACCAGGAAACCACTTGCTCTGCTTTGGGGAGGAGTTAGTGGAGGACTGGGCGTGGGCAGAAAAATGGACACATTTTGCTTCCCTGATGGACAGAGGGAGGAAGTGGGAAGGGGAGACTAAATGTTCCTGGACAGGAAAGCATATATCCAGAATTGGAAGTGAGTTTATGATCTTCTTCTATTTCTATTTTACAGAGGAAACCAGTCCACAGAGTTGTGATTTGCCCTGGGCCTTCCCACAATTCTAGAAACCCATGACTTGTCATCATTGCACGGTCACCAGACTCCCAGCTGGCTTCAGCCTCTCCGTTTCATCTCCCTCTGTTCTCACTCTGCTGCTACCAAATCAGACTTCTTTTCAGGTCCTTAAACAATCTCTGTACTTTTCCGTCTCCGTGTCTTTGATGACTTTATTCCCTTTCCTCACTCCATCATTAACATAGGTACCCCTCAAGACCCAGCTCAGATGCCATTTCTATGAGACACTCTGTTTCTGTGCCAGAAACAGTTAAGCTTTCATTTGTGTGTCCAAAGTGTGCCCCAGAGCAAGGATCTGGCAATCTGCATTTGAAACCTGGCTCCTTGGCTTCTTGGCTCTGACCCTGAGCAAATTACTTATTTTTTTGTTTTTGTCACTCAGTTTCCTAAAATATCATACAGGGAGTTGTCATGTTGTATTAATGGACATAATATAAATTAAATAGGATAATGACAAGTATCCATCGGTCACCAAAAAGGGAGCCTATTATTACTGCCTTTAGCTATATTTTAGCACTGATGACAAAATATGGTAAATTATATCTATCTGTAGACCTAAGTTATCCGTTCCCATTGATTATTCACTTGCTGATGCTGCAACAATAGCTGCCCATTTTTCATCTCTTCCATCCCCACCCAGCTGTCTTGCACAATATATACAGTCAATACATGTCTGATCAACGGAGTGGACTTAATGTGCCAAAACAGACTTGACTCTCTATCAATGATACAGGAGCTAAAAAGAAATTATTTAGGCAGAGAGTGAGAGTTAGGGAGTCCTTGGCAAGGCTTCCCTTCTAACAAAAAGCAGCCCCCAAATGATTTCTTTTCTAACAAAGAGCAGCCTGTAAAATCTAGCTGTAAACACAGATAAGCAAGCTGGAAGCTTGCATGGGTGAATGACAGCGGCTGTGCATTGCAATAGGAGAAGCCTACCTGGTGGCCAGGCATGTTCAACATGGAGGCTCCATCTTCTCTTTTCTCTGTCACCATGTGTGCAGTAAAGGAACAGGCAACATGGCGCTGGCCAGGTAGAGAGTCATCTGCATAATAAAAGATTAGGGTGGGGTGGCCAGCTCTGCAAATGGCTCACCTGGTCTCACCAATCTCTCATGACCTATGTAAATCAGATACCACCTCCTCTATCTCATCTATAAAATCTTATACACTTGGCTGTGGACCAGAACACCTGCTGGGGAGGCCCTCTCACTTTGCAGGAGAGAGAACTCTTCCTTTTCTTTTGCCAATTAAACCTCCACTCTTAACCTCACTGTGTGTCTGCGTCCTTAATTTCCTTGGCGTGAGGCAACAAACCTCGGGTATTACAGACCAACGATGCTGCTTCAGCTCATAGATGGCAAAAACCGCAATAGCTTTTGCACCAACCCTAATGCTAAATTATTAATTCCTACTTATCTAAAAAACGAGAACCACATAATTAGTATTGTAGGACACTACATGTATTTAGTCAAAATACCAGATAACCTAACTTTCTGTATATGTCACATGTATTTTAAAAATTAATGCTTCACTTTAGTAAAGTATTATAAACTATTAATCATTCATCTTAACTTTTGCTTAGCCTTTACTGGAAGTTCAGTTCTCTCCACATTTTTTTCCTCCACCTGGTTAAGAACAGTTTTCTTTGGATTTAATCTGGTTTTTCTATTGTAGATCACATCTAATCAACTGAATAGATGAATTTTTGAATAGACTCAACAAACCAGTAAGAGGTGGTCGAAGCATCATTCATAACAAAAGGTAACAACAGTTCTTTATAGGCCATATCTCATGCCTTCTGTTTTACTGGGGCAAGTTTATGCCCCAGGAGGGTTAGGAATGGCATCTAACACCCCCGTGGAGCAGACAGACCCCTTTTGTAAGTGTATATTTGTTTCAACCACATGCCTCTTAAGCTCACTTTAAAAAAATAAAATTTAAAAAAAAATTCCTGTGAGTATAGGAAGTTTGCATCACATTCACTCTACAACGTCTTTAAAGGCAGCGATTACTCCAGAACAGAGGAGACAAACAAGGCCCCTTTGTTCCAGGAGTGCACTCCTTAAAGAGCAGTTCCAAGCCCATCAGTCTGAAGGGCCAGGCAGTTGGCCCCGGGGGAGCCTGCCAAATACCCAGAGATGCTTCCCGGGAATCTTCTGCTGCCGCTGAAGTGTTGACAGGCTCTTGAGCTGAGAGCTCAGGCTGTTGATAGGAATATATAGCTCAGATAGTCAGAAATCAACCTACTCAAATTTCTCAGACCATTCTCTCCTTCGTTTCTCTCTTTTTAACTATCCAAGTACAGATTTTCTTTTAAAAACCTTCCTCCCAGAAAATGTCTGCGTTCCTGCTTCCCCTTGGGGGTGACAAAATAAAAGGCTTAAGGTGCTTTAAGGCAAATGGAGTCGCCTCCCCTCCCTTCAGCCCTCAAGTTCTGCTGATTCCAAGGGGTGGGCAGGGAGGGCCAGCAGTTGGCGGCCACCCCCTCCCTATCTCCTCTCACTTGGTATCTCCCTGGCCTCACGCTCAATCAGGTCTTCCGGGACCATACAGGGAAATGAAGAATACTGTTCGCTTACGCAGAATGTGGGAATACCTGCAGTCCATGAATTTTTATTTCTATTTTACTTTCTTCTCAAAAGCCTTTTATTTTCTAAAAGCACATACAACATGAGCCCATTCTGATGACTTTAGGAACATCTATTCCTCAATGCAAAGATATTAATGCTAGATAATAAAGCTCTGAGTTCGTACATTTAAAAGTCCAGAGAGTGAGGGGTGAGGGGAGAGAGACAGCAGAAAAACGCTAGCTGTCTTAATACTGATTTTCCTCTTCTACAAGCCTTTGATATTTAACTAATGTACCCTACCTTTCTCAAGTTCCCCAGCAGCTAAGGAAGGCCATGTGACTAATTCTGGCCAATGGGATGTAAGAAATTCAAAGCGCATTTCACAGAGCAAGCTAGGAACACACCCATTCTTCCAGCCTTTCCTCAACCCTGCTGTCTGGACCAGGGACTTGGTGTCAAAGGCAATGTCTCAGAAGAAACCTCATGCAACGCAGTGACAATATCAGCCCTGGAGACCCTATCTCTGGACTCTGGGGTAAAAGAGCAATACATTTCTATCTTGTTTATACCACTGTCAATTTGAGTTTCAATTTTATTTCATGAACCCAGTCATACTTTAAGCCAAGGTGGATTTTCCACAAAGCTAATGGAGCAGAACTTTAGAAATCCTCAGGTGTGTCGGGTGTAGTGGCTCACGCCTGTAATCCTAGCACTCTGGGAGGCTGAGGCGGATGGATCACCTGAGGTCAGTAGTTCGAGATCAGCCTGGCCAACAGGGTGAAACCCCATCTCTACAAAAATACAAAAATTGGGTGGGCGTGGGTGTGTTGGTGTGTGCCTGTAATCCCAGCTACTGGGGAGGCTGAGGCAGGAGAACTGCTTGAACTGGGGAGGCAGAGGTTGTAGTGAGACAAGACCGCACCATTACACTCTAGCCTGGGCAACAACAGCAAAACTCCATCTTAAAAAAACAACAAAAAACAAAAAACGAAACCCTCTCTTGCCAGGATGACTCCAAAGCCTGAGGAGGAACCCCGACATTGGGGTCACATGGTCATCTTATACTCTTCTTATGGTCATCTTATACTCTTCTCTTTAAAGGGTTCCTCAATTGCATAAACCTCACCCCTCATCCACGATAAGCCAGTGAGTCTTTTCATGTGTGCCTCTTGCATGGGGCATGGAGCACAGTCAATAGTTCACAGTTTCTCCTGCTTCAGATCATCTACTTGGTGACATTTAGGAATAGCACAGCCCATTGTTTCTCAAAGTACATTCCTAGATATTAATAATTGTTATAAGAAAAAAGAGTAACAGAAAAATATAATATTAGCTAATATATTTTTGTCTATGTTTTTAACTACAGTATTTCTCAGAGGAAGCAATGTGAGAATGTGCCTAGTGAATATCCCAGCACAAGAGAAAGCTGTATTTCCTAAAAGTATTGGACCACCAAACCCCCTTTTTAAGTAGTTTGTGGGTTATACTTTTGTGAAGCATGATTTGAAAGCACTCTCCTGATATCAGTAGCAAATATTTATTGACTATCTCTTGGGGGAAACTAAGTTTTTTGTTTTTGTAGCATTAGTGGAAGAAGGTGATTTTTCTTCCTGATTTTATTGTTTAAAATTGCTCCCTGTCTGGAGTTTGCTGTTCAGTAAGCATTGATTCCAGCAATATTGTCATTTCTGCATTGACACTGGTGCATCTCTCAGGTCTCCAACAAAAGCTAAGAGTGACATGTACAACATGTTAGATCCCTGTGGGGGGAAGGGTGTGAGTTCAAGGGAGTTGGAGTCACACTGAGGTTTCATCTCCCATGAGGAAGATCTTTGATGGTGGGCTACAGAAAGCTACAACCACAATGCAGACGTAGTTCTGCAAAAAGGACCCATTTCTGTGCTTATATCAGTGCTTGGAGAAACTTTCAGGCTCATTTATGTGAGCCACATTTTCATTACAGGAAAATAATTGACACCAGGCTTCTTGTCTTTAACTGAAATTAAAGCATGTACACCTGTATTCATCTTCTAGGGTTTCTGTAAGAAAGTATCATAAACTGCCTGGCTGCATGTACCCTACCTTTCTCAAGTTCCCCAGCAGCTAAGGAAGGCCGTGTGACTAATTCTGGCAGAAATCTATTTTTTCACAGCGCTGGCGACTGGAAGTTCAAAGCCAAAGTGTCAGCAGTCCTTCCCTCCTCCTACCTTCTGGTGGTGGCCATTGATTCTTGGCATTTCTTGGCTTGCAACTGCACCACTTCAGTCTCTGCCTCTTTCCTCACATGGCATTTTCCTCTTTACAGGTGTTAGGAATGCAACATACTTTTTGGAGGGGGCACAATTCAATCCATAGTAATACAAAAGACTCCTTGATTTTCTGTAGGGCAGCATAATGTCATGATGGACAGAGCTCTGAATTAGGAGTCCGAAGGCCTGAGTAGGCCCTTAGCAAATCTCTAGGCTACATATCTATATACATAAACAAGGATAACAATACACTCCTTGACTTTGCTGTAAGGGTTGTAACAAAGATATAGAAAAGTGCTCTGTAGCCTTTCAGTGATGATAGAAGTGTTATTGTCTTCAAAGAGAAACATGGCTAATGTGGGTAATTGAAATTTGGCATATGATCTCACACCTTACTTTAGACAATCATTTCCACCTCTACCTCATTCACCTCTGTACTAGACAAGGACATACTTTTGTTTATATTGCTGCCCTTGCACTCTGTACTAAGGGATGTTAGATGATGAGAAAAGTCCTTGTTGGTGCAGCCAATTCTCAAATTGAATCTGAAGCATCCAGTAATGGGAAAATGTCCACATGGCTTTAATAATAATTCTTTAATGGAGTTTCAACTTGGGGTAAAAGACTGAAAAATGCCAGCAGAAGGCTTTTTCTAAACAAAAAAAGCAACTACCTATTAATTAATCTAAAATTACTCAGCTTCAGTTGTATGTACCTTTAACATGATAATAAGGGAACAGTAGGGCCACGGTTCATAAACTAGTGTCTTCGTCTCTAGAAGCACTGGTGATAGTAATGGGAATTTGCAGGCTAGTTGAGTTTTGCAGAAGTTTCCCAGATCATATTTTCATTTACTTAGTGCAGGGTAACTCAAATGTTCATCCTTTTTCTTTGGATAGAATTTATTACATCGTTTATCAATAGTAATACTGGTTATCTCATGTGGGGTAAATGTTCGCTTTGGCAATCATATATCAATCCAAATAAATAAAAAAAAAAGTTACTTATAATGTGCAATTTTTTGATGTGCAAAATCTTATAAAGCATGGGGATAAAGGGAGTTGAGATGTTAAACAGGGATTCTGGTTAAAATATTGAGAAAAGAGTGAAGTTAAGGGTGAATACTGATCACATGATTCCGCTTTAATGAACGTTGGAAAAACAAGGCAGGCTTCCAAACACTGTTCTATTTGTACTTCAACTCATTACTTGACTTAAATGCCTTTTAACTCTGACCTTCTAGAATTTCCTGTACAATCTTCCACTGTTTAAAATGAAGTTGCCTGATTGATTTCTTTACCATTTCAGAATGTCCTGTATCATTTTAATGACTGTGGCGTGTGACTTTGTTCTTAGCACAATGAGTAACAAAGCCAAAACACTGGAGAATACGTTTATGCATTCAAGAAAACCTCAGACAGGGCAGAATGCTTTCATAATGCAGTACATTAAAATCAGACGAAGCCTCGAAGGACAGAATCGCCGACCCTGAAAAATCTCAAGCTGGAAATCAGAGTGTACTACAGAAGACAACAGCGTTTGAGGACATTTGCTGAAGCAGCCTCCTCTCCCTTAAGGTCTGATAATCCCACACGGTTTTTACCAAGCTCTCTGGCCTTCCCGGAACGTCAATAAAAACTGCATTCCCCGACTTTTGTTGGTGGTTTCTTCCCTAAACTTTAGGGAAGTGGTGGTTTATGTGGTGTTATCTTCCCTAAGCTTTAATTTAATATGATCTTACTTAGGCATTTCTTTTAGAGAGTAGGTCATTGTAACGAAGCGTTTTTCACCCTCTGGGAAAGAGGTTTCCACATAAGGGCCAGGCCGTGTTTTCCCTTTCATCCAGTGATTCCACCATAAGCAGCCACTCATCTTCACTTTTCCCAACAATTTTCTTAAAATCAGTGTATTTTTTTGCAGGACCGGATATCACATTACAGTCTCTAGTCAGGGGTGGGGGGTGGGATGTGAAGTGAGAACAAAGAATGGTAACTCCCGAAGCGATTTTTTTAATGTAAACTTTGTTAGGAAGCATAACATACACACGTGCCAACATAAAGGGTGCAACTCCATGTAATTTTATGCAGACACTCACTCATGGAACCACAACTAGAACAGGAAATAGGATTTTGCCAGCACCCCAGAAGCTCCTATAAGGCACCTTGCAGTCACTCCCCTCCCCTACCCCACCCCAGAAGATAACAAGTTCATTTTCTGACTTCTATCACTGTAGATTAATTTGCCGCTATTCCGAACTTCCGTAAATGGAATCGGACAGTACACACTCTTTGGTACCTGGCTCAACAGTCTGTTCCTTGAGTCTGCTGAAGCAGTCATTTCTTCAATTTTATTGCTGACTCATATTCTGTGCTATGAAAATGTAACAATTTATTTTTCCATTCTACTACTGATGGGCCTTCAGATTCTAATATTTGCCCATAATGAAAAATGCTGCAATAAGAATTGTTGTGCACGTCTTCTGAGAGCACATGTACCTATTTCTGTGGATATAGACCTAGAAGTGTAATATCTGGGTCACAAATAGTCGTGTGCCTATGCAGGCTTGTACTGGCTCATGACAGCCCAGTTTTTGCAATCCAATTGTTAAATATAGCCACAACTGAAAATTAAGTCATGTAAACTTACCATTAAATAAAATAATTTTTAAACAATAATAAATACTCAAAACTGGTCGTTTCCTATTTTACTACATTTGACTAACATCTGTTTGATTAATGAACATTTTATTATTGCTGCTTAATTTATGATTCTACCTAAGATATTTTATTTTTATTTACTTTTTTTTTTTGAGACAGAGTCTCATTCTGGTTGCCCAGGCTGAAGTGCAGTGGCTCTGTCTTGGCTCACTGCAGCCTTGACCTCCCGGGCTCAGGTGACTCTCCCACCTCAGCCTCCCAAACAACTGGGACTACAGGCATGTGCTACCCTACCCAGCTAATTTTTTGTATTTTTAGTAGAGATGGGGCTTCGCCATGTTGCCCAGGCTGGTCTTGAACTCCTGGACTCAAGCAATCTGCCCACCTCGATACCCTAGCGTGTTGGGATTACAGGCATGAGCCACCACACGCAGCCTGATACTTCAGGATTCTGACAAATAGAAGATATTAATACAGAACAAAAACAACAAAAGCATTTAATCTAATTTATGGTAGAGACGTCCAATCTCAAGAGTCAATGCCTTCCTTATTTTAACCAGTCACCACAGAAAACCTGAAAAACAGAGCCTGTAAGAGGCATCTGAGAGGTCTTCAAGAGACTGAAATTACTAACCAGGCTTCAGGAGGACTGAGCAGATCTGCTGTGCTGACGCTCCAGTTTTGACCAACATGTACAAGTGGAGTCATGCTTTGATCTCATACCAACAATTCTGCTCGGGATGTAATGTCTTAGTCTGTTTGGGCTGCTATAGCAAAACACCTGAGGTTGGGTAATTTATAAACAGTAGAGATTTATTCTATTACAGTTCTGGAATCTGGGAAGTCCAAAATCAAGGTGCCAGTAGATTCCATGTCTGATGAGGGTGTGGTCTCTGCTTCAAAGACGGCAGCTTGATGCTGCATCCTCCCAAGGGAGGAATGCTGGGTCTTCACATGGCAGGAGGAACAGGAGGGCAAAAGGGGGTCAAGTTTTTCCCTCCATCAAGCTTTTTTTTTTTTTAATGGCATTAATCTGTTCATGAGGATGGAGCTCTTATGATCTAAATACCCCCCAAAAGTCCCCACCTCCCAGAACTGTTGCATTGGGGATTAAATTTCCAACACATGAATTTTAGGGGACATGTTCAGACCGTAGCACTTGGTAGGAGCGAGGAAAAGAAAAAACAGTGGGCAGAGGCACAGACGAGATGAGATGATCAGGACCTGTCTGAAAGTTGCATGCTTCCTCACTCCCATTTACTGTGAATCTTTCCTCACTTCCTTCTTTGGACCATAGAACGATACATGTGCTGCCAAAGTGAGCAGTGGATCACAGAATGATAAGGGAGAATTTGGTAAAAGGGAAGGGTGGTTTTTGTGTCTCTAATGGCCTGATTAGTATAATGACATGGCTTGAAAAAATAATCTCTTAGGTTACAATCTGTTCAAATTATTGAGTCGGCATTTACTCACTGCGACACATATTAGAATAGTGTTCATGACACTTTGAGGTGCATTGATCTTTAATAAGGTAAGAAGGCAGCATTGGCTTAATTTTATGTATCAAGAACATGAACCTTAGAGGGAAAAAGTGACCTTCTTAAGAGCCCAAGTGAGTTAGTAGAAGAGTTACCTGGATCCAGAAACAAATTCTTAACTCCCAGGCAAGTCCTCTTTACTCTATCACTCCTTGTGGCTATTTTATTATTATTAGTGATACTAGTGATACTAGATACCAGAAGACACCACAGTGAAGTTGGGAGTTTCCCTTATTGTTTATTCTGTTGACTGCAATGCAACCAACGGGCCTTAACACTTGGACCCATAATTAATTTTAGATTATAAGAGGCAGAGAATTCAACTCACACTAGATTGAGTAGCGGGAGACAAGGAGTGAAATTTATTGGATGGAGTTGACACGGGAAAAGTTCCCTTGTCCCCCTCGCAGGGCATGAGACAGGGGCTAGCTTCTTCAGTGCCCCGCGGCTCACACCTCTCGGGAAGCATGCAGACAGGCAAGCTGTGGGGCTCCGACGCCCCCACGCACTCTCTAGGGGTGAATGTTTACAGCTTCTGAAGCCCTAGTGGGCGTGTGTTACAGGTGCTCTGAGTTTGCGTGTATAGGCGGCTTTTGTTAACCAGCTCAATTAGACCGTCTACCTGGTTGCAAGGACAGAGGGCTTTTCGTATTCCCGGTTCTTGCCTTGGTGTACTGGAAGAATTGGATCACTAGTGGGCTTGGAGAATGAGTGCAAAGTTTTGAGTGGAAATAGCTCTCTGCCAACAGGGGAGCCATAAGGGAGATGGTTTTCCCTTGGAGTTGGGCCACTGGGTGCCCCAGCTCTTCTCTGACGGCCCTGGCCAAACTCTGCCTTGTCCCACCAGTCGATGGCCCGCGGGCATGCCGCCGTCTGTTGGTGTGCTCTTCTGCCTGCTGCTGCTTGCCTGTCTTCTGATGTGCTTCTCTCCGTGTCTGGCCGCCTGTGTCTCCGCCTTGCTAGGGTCTGGGGTTTTTACAGGCCCAGGATGGGGGCATGGTGGGCCAGGGTGGTCTTGGGAAATGCAACATTTGGGTGGGAAGGCAGAGGTGCCTGTCCTCACCTAGGTCCATGGGGGTGGAGCGCTAGCCAGGGACCATGCCCTCCTCTGCCCAGCACTTCCCTTCCCCCTTTCCATGTTATTCAAAGGGACCACACCCTTCCCTTCTCAGCACTTCCGTATCAGAGTGGAGATGGCGTTGGTAATGATGATGACAGGGGACTGAAATGTCATCCACTTTCCTCTTCATTTACTGCCTCTGCTTTGCTGGGCATGGTAGCTTGTCTCTTACTTCACCTCTCCTTTCTCCAAGCTGCAGCAGACACCACGGGTGACAGCTCATCAACTCTGAGAGGAAAGGGATTCTCTTTCATGCTCTTCTCTAAAAACAATCTCTAAGGGAAATTTTGATTGTCATGACCTTGGACATAAGACCACTTCCCTGCAAAATCAAAACGGCTGGGAAGATACAATATTCTGATGGGCCATGCTGAGAAAGGTGTCTGCAGGTAAACAAATCACTGAGGCCAGACAGGTAAGGCAGCTGTTTTATAAACCACATCAGCAATGGAATGGGGGTGGTAAGGAATCATTCCCTTAAAAAGAGGTGAGTACCATGGTCGAGGTGGATACCACCGGGGTTGTGAGAAGCCAGGAAGCCACGTCATCTTTTACCAAGAGGATGGCCTCAATATCGCAGTATTTATTATTTGAGTTACAAGGTTGTAGAGGGAAGCAAATGTCAACTGAACAAAAGCACTCACGAATGAACGGTCTATCCACTTAGGTGGATTGTCGCTGATTTTCTTTTTTGATTTTGGAAATAAAATTGTTATCACAATGCTGCATAATGGAACACAATTGACAAGTGAAATCAGCAATCATGCAAAAGTTGCCTTGAAAAAAGAGATTTTGGGAAACTGCTCGAATCATACATAAATCTGTTGATAATGAGGACCTGACAAAGTAACAGCAGTTTACAACTGAGGAAGAGAGAGCCAATGATTGCATGGTGTGATTTCAGTATCAGAGAATTAAGAGTGGCCCCCGGGAAATGGGTCAAATCCTAGAATTTTTAAGTAAAATAATCCTCTTTAAAATTACACTGCATCAGTGAGGCACATAAAGGAAAGGTGTATAAAAGGGCCAGCCTACATTTTTAGAAAGACAATGTCCCCCAAAACTCTGTACATAAATATTTCATTTATTCTTTGTTCATTTTAAAGAATTAACATATAGATGCAACAAAAACCAACATTTTATTAAATATAAGATAAAACAGGCTGGGCACGGTGGCTCACGCCTGTAATCCCAGCACTTTGGGAGGCCGAGGCAGGCAGATCACGAGGTCAGGAGATTGAGACCATCCTGGCTAACACCATAAAACCCTGTCTCTACTAAAAATACAAAAAATTAGCTGGGCATAGTGGCGGCTGCCTGTAGTCCCAGCTGCTCGGAAGGCTGAGGCAGGAGAATGGCGCAAACCCAAGAGGCGGAGCTTGCAGTGAGCGGAGATCAAGCCACTGCACACCAGCCTGGGCGACAGAGCCAGACTCCATCTCAAAAAAAAAAAAGATAAAACATAAAAGATAAAATAAGCTTATATTTACAATTCCCCTGGTTACTCTTCAAGATTAAATCTTTTTTAACTACTATGAAATTTCAGTATTCCTGTGAGGTGATTCTCCATAATTGATGTTTTCCGGTTAGCAATATTCCAAAGTAATGTATCTATAGTGGCTGTATCAAAGAGCTCCTCTTACTAAGCTAAATGATTTTGAAATGTGGTTTAGGGCACCTAAAGTTGTTTGTTTATTTCTCTCCTTTTTCTAAGTAGTTGTGCCATTTCAGCTTATCCTACAATGGCTTCTTGGAGAGTTCCAGCTAACACACAATCTTTGTACATTTCTAGTTGAATTAATTCAATGTTATTAGTTTCAGTTCAATTTGATTATGATACATTGAATTGCTTCAAAGTGGATAGATATCTTGTGTTTGAGCATTGTAGTTTTGGTGATATATTTTTAAATGGTTATATAACCTCTGGGAAAGTCATGCAATGAATCTGAAGCTCAATGGCAAGACTACCAACTATTCAGGACAGTTGCTTAATATTAAATGATGCAATATACATGATTCCTGGCATATGGAGCCAATCAGTGCCAGTTGATATTGACTTTGTTTTCCTGATGACTGATAAGGATGATGCTTATATTGCAGCTAAAACTGCTCAAGGAGCTTTGGCAGACCCAGGTCTCATAGCCATATGTAGTATTAAATGTAAGACAAAAAATTGTGGTGTCTCTCTGAATAATTGACAACACGCTACAACACAATGCAAAACAATTGCCAACTGAAATCACAAATCGTGAAAAATGCCCTGACAAAAGGCATTTGGGAGAACTGCTCAAACAA